TTTTGCCTCCCATATGGCTTTAATAGAGTTATTACCAAATTGTAGCCGCTGCCTCTTTAGCCAATTCTCATTCTCACCTCTATCGCTCGACGACCTGTGTCCCTCTGTCTCGCTGTCTCCCCGGCTAATTCTCTCATTTGCTGTCTCTTGTGCAACTGTCGATGCTTGATTTTCGCTTGTCTTTATGATCGGCCTGCTGGCTTTGATCTTGACGCCGCCGATTCCCCTGGCTTCCTGCCTTCCTCCACCCCTGAATCGCGGGTAATGGCCAGGGAAGAAAAATGCAACTTGAGCTCAATTAGTGCTCATCAAAAGCGTGCAGGTAACACCTTCAGTGCGTTGCTTTTGCACACACCTCAGCTCCGAGTATCTGTATCTGTGTATCTGTATCTGTGCATCTGTGCATCTGTATCTGTGTATCTTTGTATCTCTTCTGGCCAGGCGTCACTTGTTCTTGTTCTGACTTTGGCTCTAACCGGACGGGTCGAGGTATGCAATTTGCTCGAGGGGTGCCTTATGATGATGGACCACCCGAGTGCTTTTGGTGGGTTACACGGTGAGAAATAATAGCTTAAGACTTGGTTTAGATATATTTAAATAGAAGAGATACGTTTTTGACTATAATAAAGGTAATTTCATGGCTTATAGACAAAAAATTATCATTTTAAAAAGGGTTAAGACTTTTTTACAGTGTTTTCTGCTTTGAAATTAGCTTCTCTTTGTATTTGCTTTTGATTTTTAAATAAAATCTAAATAAAAAAACTTAATTTCTTTAACAATTCTGCTACTGAAATTGACCTTCTTGCTGATTTGTTTAAAGAATTTTAATTTGTATAATCCACAACTATTTTGTTACCTTAACTTTACTACTAAATCCATTTAAGAATAATTACAAACACATTATATGTGTAGTATTCCAAAGGTGTGTGGTCCAAAAGGGCTTCCGATAGTGAAAGCAAATCAGGCAGTTAACCAATTTTGTTGTTGTTTTTTTTTATAGCCAACCACGCAAGTCTCTGATTTTGTTATTCCCCTGGGCTGGTATTAATGCTAATGCTTTATGGTTAGGCCGCACGCAAACTCATATTTCTCTGCCACTTTTACTACTGGCGAATTATAATTTTTAATAAAATATTTGAGGCGCAACCGTTAATTAGAGAATTTATGCCGAGCGTTGTTGGCTTGTCAACTTGTTTCGGCTTCTCTCGGAGGCAATTTCGCAATATTTCATGCATATTTTATATGCGAAGCTAGAACAGTTTGGCGCCCGCAGACATTTTCTTGATTTTTATTGAGGCAAACGAGTCTCGCCTTACAGCATTTATTAATATACGAATATACGAATATACGCTTTTTTATATAGTATTTGTAGTGTCATTAACGAATATCGCTGAAACGATGTGCAGCTATTAATCATTTGAAATGAATTTTTTGATTTACACTTTGGCGGGATTTCTTTTTGTTAGCTTTTTGCTTGATTTATGCAATGCTCAGCTTGTTGACTTTTCTAAAGGAATTTTCAGTTTTTCATGGGAAGTATTTAAATCGAATGAAATGCAATTGTAAATCAGTAATTTGTGTAATGTTTCTCAAGAGTTTCTAAGGGTATTTAGTGAGTTTTCAAGGGGATTCCTTTATAGATTATAGTTATGTGCTAAATTGTTTATGGTTTACAATGGTTTTCCATTTGTTTTTTATCAGCAAAACTAGATTTTTAATACCCAACGATCTCGAGGCAAATATTTGAACAACAATTACTGGGCAAGTGGCCACTAATGCGATAGATAGAAATCTATCTAGCACAGCAGATATATATAGTATATAGAGTATATAGAGGGGCGTGACATGCCGCCCAGATATTCAAGGCACGCCATGGAAAATGTCACGTTATTCGGAAAGCAGATATAGCTATTTCCCCACCCACAGATACATATACATAGGTGGATGTGGACCGGTTATGGATCGACTGATTTGACGTGACTGAAAATTGCCCTCTAACAGCTTTGACTGGGTATCCCATTTGCATGGTAGTTAGCACACGACTCTGTTTCTCTGCTTGGATTTCCAATTATAACTATAATTTATGCTCAATTCGCCACTTATTTACATTTATATATATTTTTCGACTTTGCTCCCCCCATTCGAAATTAAGTATACGTCTAGTTGAACTAATTAGTTTTCTCTCGCCCGCAGTGCATACTTTTTATTACTTTGCCCCGCCCCGCGACCCGCATGTTGTAAAATGTTTACACTGCTATCTGTCAAATCAACTGTCAACCCGAAGTGCCATCATCATTGTGGCCGCCATCCGCCATGTACATGTATCTGTGAGTGTGAGTTTTTCGGGGGGAGTTTGTTTTTATGTTTGTGTATCTGTTTGTGGTGCGTTTTGTGGTTCATGCTCCGCTGGGTAGCAGTCTTCGGTCTCTGGTCCCTGGTCCCTGGTCTTCAACTGCCATTGCTCCGCCGCCTTTTGTCAAGTGGGAAAAGTTTAGTAATTAAATTGTAATTAGGGATGCATCCGCCGCTGCTTTGTGCCGTTTGTGCGTTCGCCGTGCGTTCAATAATGCGGCTGTCTGTGCCAATTGTCTTGGCGTTTCATCAAGCCAACATTTTAACAGCGGCAGCGGCAGCCCGTGCTGATCGCCCCTTCGGAATGGGCTTTCTTAGGGCTCATTTTGCCTCCCCTTTTGGTCCATTGCAATTATGAGTTTACCCTTTCCGAGGGGAGTACCACACAATACGATCAAATATGATTTTCTTTGTAGAAAGTGGTTTATATAGAGTGTGTTGGTGTGTAAAAGAACATCCATTTTCATTATTCGTGAATTAAAATTAAAATATGGGAAATGTGTAAAAGAGGGAGTTGAATTTTAAAATAATATTTAGAAGACAGAAAATATCTTTAAACCGATATATATCGATATTTGATGGGAAAGTCAATACATAGATCGATCTTTTGAGAAGGTTATATTTGTACAAAAAAGCTATATCTTCTTTGATATAAAAGACCAATAAAAATAGGACATATTTTTACGATACGATAATTTTCGATATTTTACCATGTGATATATACATTTTTCAATATATCCTAACGGACTTTCGCCTCGATATAGGTACACAAGATGTATCTACACAGTATCCTAAGAGTATTTTATCTTCGGCGACGACAGCTTTGCTGTGTTTGCAATTGACGAGACCTAATGACAGGTTCATTGTTCAAATGGCTGCAACTTTTCAGCCATTTCCATTGTAATTATTTTGTATATGGGACTACACTTTGGTTTATCTACTGAAAATCGTCATGAGCAATGAGCAGGTGAGCCCCCTCAAAGGGTAGGGTAATAGGAGTCGGCATGGGAGTTGTCGCTGCTCCTAATTACCAACCGGAAGTGCCCCCCCTTTCCACTATATCCTGACTGGTTACTTTTGGCCAACATTGCTCGGGCTTAGTGTAATGGCTAAGGAAAGGGCCATCGTCCCCATACCGGATGCTGTCTTGGGAAAATGCAATTTTCGCAAGCTACGGCGCTTAAGCAGAGCATCTGTGTGATAATCATAATCATCTCTCGGGCGGCTTGGCTGGCACTCAATGCCAGTAGCAGTTGATCAACCGATCAAATCAGCTGATGCTGATTAGATGGCTCTGTGGAGCAATCCGGCGATCCGGAGTGGAGCACGAACCAATTGCCAGTTGTACGTGCGCCGCGTAAATTCAATTTCAGTAGCAGATGAACAAAAGGCGCAGTCCATGATGGATTATACTGTCCATTGCACTCGGGGAAAAAGTATTTTGTTATTTGAGAAACATTAAGTAAAGGTTGGAGATAATTTAATAATAATAATAATAATGAAATCTAGAATTATATAAATATATGAATTAGTTTTTCTATTTGCAGAAAATTTTAAAAATATTTCTTTGATAACTAGAAAGGTTCTTAGGGAGTTGTTCTAATTATAGTTGTAACAAAAGAAGTCTTATAGGTAAGGTTTATTCTAAATATATGTATAAAGCTTCTCTACTTTTATTATTAATAATGAAAAACTTGCCAAATATTTATTCTGAGTGTTGATTGAATCGGTTCGCGTCTGCGACTTAACGAGAAATCAACGCCGCTAAGCAAATTATGCCGAACGATACGCATGCGCCGGAGCCATCAGCCAGATCGCGAGCATCCATCCAGCATCCCAACATCGAGTATAGCGTTTGGGTATGGGTATGGGTCTGGGGTCTGGGAAAGGCAATCGCCATCAAAGGCAATGCCGAGAGTGAGCCAAGCAGCCGGCCGGGCCTGGCCTGAAATTGATTTAGCCACCTCAGCCGGCCCCACTGACCTCACTACTGTTTTTACGCCTTAAGGAGAATCTCATCAAGACGTAATGACAACAATTGATCAATCGCTGGACGGGCTAATGGTTATGATGGGTCTCGTTGGGAAATCAGTTTATATTAAAATGTAATTTGCTTGCGGTTAGCTGGTTGAGGGAAATAAGAGTGGTATAGTAACTCTACCTGAAGGTAAGTGCACCCAGCATGTAGTTTACAATTATGATGATCGTGTAAAAGGGAAATAAACTAATTTAAGATTTATCTATACATATTTCTGGACAGGCTTTAATTGTATAGTATTATTTTTGAAGCAATAACTAAAGAATAACTTAAAGTATTTATAAAAAATGAAAATCGAAAAATATTTAAAATGTAGTAATAATAATTATAAATAAATATACAACAGGTGCGGGGACAGTAGATCAAAAACGGAGAAAAATCGAAGCTAAATCGGATCAAAGTCAGAGCAAAATCGAAGCAAAATCGAAGTAAAATGTCTTAAAACCTATTTTGTCAGTAAAATAAGCTTTATACCCGACGATTTGTAGATTTTGGTTTTTTAATTCCTTAAGCCACTCACAAAAACATTATGAAAAGAGTTCTGACTGTTAAAAGAGCCTTATCTGCTGCATAACAAATATCCCCAATCCCTAATGTCTCCCGTACTCACCCTGCTCCTCGTCAAAGTTCTTGGTGGACAACTGGAACAGAGCATCAAGCGGGGTATCTCCAGCTGGGGTCTCGCCACCTTTTGCAGCAGACGACTCCTCCGACTTCTTCTTGGAGCCTCCTTGGCCATCTCCCGCTGGAGCCGGAAGCTTTTCCGCCTGACTGGGGGGACTGCAGCAATCAATGCTGCCGTTGCTGCTGCTGCTACTGCTGGAACGCTGCGATCTCTCGGAGCTGCCATCCTCGGAGGCAATGATCAGTGCGGGATTCAGGTGGCTCATTTGGCGCAGCAACTGCGCCTGGGCCTGCGCATGGAAGTGCTCCTGCAGCTGGCGTTGGTAGTCCCAGGCCAAGCGCTGCTCATAGCTGTGCAGCAGGGCGGGCGATAGGAAGGGATGCAGTGCAGCGGGTGGAGCAGCGGGTAGAGCAGCTGAAACTGGAGCAGGAGCTGGCACTCCCGTCGGCTGAGCTGTCACATTTGGAGCTGTATCTGCTGATGGCTCTTCATCCCTCCCTCGTCCCAGGATATCTGCTATGGAAAAGCTTTTGATGCGAGCCGGCGATGACTTGGGCGCGGGACTCCTTAGGAGCCTTAAGCGCTTCATGCTCAAGGATCTCATCATGGGCGGCGGCGGACTGGGCGAGCCCACCGAGATCTCGGACTCCGCGGGACTGGGCGTTCGCTGAGGCATCTTCGAGAGTCTTTTGGCTACCAGATCCTAGCGCATCTTTAAGATACACGTTCTGTAGAATGGCGATTAAAAACGCGTCGGCAAAAACGCGCGGCAGCCACACGTAAAACGTTGGCACAACGTGCAACACAAACACCAACAACGAAAATGGCTCGTGGCCGAAATTCGCTGCTATTTGCTGCTCTCTCCCAGCCACTCTCTGGCGTTGCCTCTCTCGACCGGTTTGGAGCCCAACTGGTTTCGATGACGTCACTAGTCTCGCAGCTGCTTGTCTAATTGGAAATGCCGCCTCGCTCTGGCAAAGAGGCGTGCCAGCCAGAGAGAGCGAGCGAAGAGCGGACCAATGGCAGCCGGCCAATACCTTTCCGACACCCCCCTCGACCCCATAAACTCGCTGTCAACGTGTGCGAACGTAATCAATTTGTACAATTTGACATGCGCTCTTTCTCACCACCTCTCCTTGTCCCACTCTCTCGCTTCCTCTCTGTCTAACTCCCCCTGGCTTCTCGGCATCTCACCGCCTGCGTTTCCAAGCGGCCGACTGCGTTAATTATCGTAATTGTTGGCTCTCTCCGGCTGCTTCGCAGCTCTCTTTTGGCCCACTCAATTGTCATCAATAATGATGTCTCGTTGTACCGTTGTTGGCTCCTCATCTATTTTCCACTGAATTCGACTTTTCGAGACCTCCTGGCACTGGCAGAAAATATGTACTAGGAAGATATTCAGAACAAGGCTTTATTGTTTCGAGTTTTTAAATTTGATAAAAAATTTTAATTTAGACGTTTCTCAGTTATTAAAACAATACTCAAATGAAAATAAAATGGAAAGTTTAGTTTTAGAACTGATCTGCTTGTAAATAATAAATAATTCTAATTATTATTTACTGTATTTATTAATTTAATTAAAAACATATTTCAATATCTTTGTCACTATAATAAAACAATTTAAGGCGTTATATACAGTTGTGATGATAAAAAAAATCGACTTTTTTTTATTGCATATTCTTCAAGTATATACTATTGAGAATACTCTCACAAAAATTCATAAAGATCGGAGCTTTAGAACCGAAGTTGTAGCTATTTATAGCGCACGACCTGCACGTCGGCCGGAACAAACTTGAAACTTTAAACGCGATTATCTCAGAATCGTTTTTTTCGAAGTTACCTTTGCGGTGGACACGATAACTAAAAAACTATTAATCCGATCAACACAAAATTTTGACCACTTATTTTTTATAACAATAGCTAGTCCTCTAACGAAGAATTTTTTATTTTTTTTTTTAACTTTTTTTTTTAGAGCATAAAAATCAAAAATCTTATACCTTGAAAAAGTAAATTTTTTGTTAAAACCGTCGCCATTTTTTTTTTAATCAAAATTTTTACAAATCTATGGTCTAGAGGACTAGGCAATACAATATACTAACGAAATTTTTTTGAATTGTTGACCGCAAGTCACCATCGAAAAAAAGACGATCTTGGAATTCGGCCATAACATTTTTAATATTTAATATTTTTTTATGAAAAAATTTTATAAAGTACCTAGAAACATGTACTAAACAACGTCGGTAAAACATTTTTGATAAATATTTTTTATGATGTCAAAAAAAAAATCGACAAAATTGCATTTTTTTGCGCGGTACAACTGTATATAACCCCTTAATAAATTAAAACTTAATACATTTTTTTACAAGTTCTTCCCTCAGTGCCTTCTCTTGGCACACATTCGTTTGTCTTGCGATTTCCACCATTTCCCACTCTCTAAATTACCTCAATGCATTTCCAAATTGATTGCAACTCTGGTCCGCTTGTTGTATATCACGTATGCGCCCTGTATACGCCATGCCATGCCGCGCTTCGTTTGTTTGTCAGTGTCAGTTTTGTATTCAATTTCGCTCCGCTGTTTGTCCTGGTTTTATTTTATTTTTTTTCATTTCTCGTTTCTTTCCTTGCATTTTGCATGCAAATGTCTATTTAACTGCAATGCGCCCTTTGCCGGTGGGAAAAGTGAGTGGAGGAGCACCGGCTAAGTGAAATGATGTAACTGCCGAGCCGTAATCGATAATAGGGTCTAAAGCCGTCTTTCCCTGCTCTCTGAAACAAGGGTATAATTGTTTATTTTTAAGTAATGAATGTTATGAGGGTATATTGTATATTTTGTAGATGAAAATGAGAGGTTTGGGATTAAATATAAACTTTTTACATACTTTAGTTAAGGAGCTTAATAATGATTAAAGTTCAGCTAGATTTAAAGAAAGGTTTACATTTATTTAAGTTAGTGTTCAATGTGTATTTTCTACTACTTATCTAAATCACCTACAAATAATCCAACAAAATGTTTAATTAAATTTCCAAAAAATCCTATTAAAAGAGTATATTGTGTACGGTGCGGCTTCTGTTGCTCCCTGCCCAAGTTGTTGGCATTTGCATGAGAACCGAACCCCTTGGCTTCCCTTCCCTTTTTGGTTGCAAGATGGCCGCGTTGTTTGATTAATGCCTGCACTTGACTGACTTGACGGACGCGAATGCCTCGAATGTTGTTTTGCGCCTTTCGTTTCAGGGAAATTGGCCTCCCTTGAGAGCGTTCGCTATCGGTATCGCTGCGATCGCATTCGTATTTAAAATCAATTATGAAATGACTCTTAATTGGGCGCCTCAATAGGCGCGACACGCCCTGTCAATCACAATTAGCCATCGCCCCTAGAAAACCCCTTGGACCGTCACTCGTATTCACAGATACCCTCAAACTCAAACGATTCGGCACGCCTCTAATTCTGCAAATTCATAAGCCAAATGTATCGGCTCTACATCCTTTCATCAGGCAGGGGCAAGATGGCGATCGGATCGCCGGTGTTCATTAAAACCTCATAAATAGCTAAAGTGTTTATTGTCGCATCTGGCAAGCCCAAATCCCCGGAGAGGGCTCTTCACCACGGTCCTCAAACTCGTATTCGCACTCGTGTTTTGTATACATCAGGCCGGGGTGCAGGAGCAGGAGCCAGTTGGTAATAAAGTCATTGCTGTGTGTTGTGTCAAATTTGTCACGCCCCTTCGGCGGGCTCGAAAGTGGCTGCTGGCAATGCATTAATGTCGCCTTTTGTCTCGTCGAGTTCCTCTTTTGCCCCTGACGATGGATGATGAAGTTGTGCCAGCCAGTTGTCAACAATCAACGCTCCCAAAAACTGAGCCCAACTGCATGCCAATTAAAGCCAGCTCGCAGCTATCCGATCCTCAACTTCAACCTCAACCTTTCCAGCTGCACCCCGTAAAAAAAAAGAGGCAAACTAAAAACCGAATTCTGTGACGAATGCGCTTATGACTGCAGGCTCTGACGAGCAAAAGCGATCCTCGCCTTATCATCGAATAATCTTCGACACTTCGGACAGCTGTCAGCGTTTTGCCAACTCATTATGCAGATTTCGACCACAAATGCGACTTGGAAATGTCGAAAACAATTTACTGAACGCGACGAACAGCATTTGTCAATGCGGATCGGATGCGTCTATTAGGACAGGGACAGTGCCGGAGATTGGTCATCACTTGGAGTCCGGCAAAAGCCGCAAGATAACACTGGTAGAAAATGAAATAAATATCCTTAAAGGGTATTATTCTTTAAAAAAAATTTAAGCCTTTAAGATAAATATGTTCTTGGTCAACAGGCGTCTCAATCTAGCCATCAAAAAAGATACATCTATGAACAGATACATTTTAAACCAAATTATAATTATTTTTAAGGTACAAGATAATCCTATTTCCATTATTTCCAACTTATTACTCAGAACCCAGACCTTAGTTTTATACTTTTTTTTCACTGCAAACGCAATGGAATGACACCAACAACCGAATTTCGAGCTACCGCATACAAATTATGGTCTCGAATGAAATACCCCAGCGCTTATCCACAAGATACACACACACACACACACACACACACACAAAGATACAAAAAAGTGCCGCGCCCTGCGGCAAGATACAGAATGGACCTCAAGATTGGGGCAGTGGCAATTTGTATATCTTTGTGATAAATCAAAACATTATCAATAATAAAATCGGTAGCCGTTTGCCACTTGGAAGCGTTTGGGGGCAAAATTTGTCGGCCTTTTGTTGTGGTTTAAAAACCGAAAAGATCGAAAACCAAAAACCCGAATACCGATCGCCTCGCATCGAATACCAAGACTCCCAAAAGCATTTTCTGAGTGCTAGTGCTTCGTGTGTAATTTGTATGCTAATTCAGCATCGAGTTGAATGCCTGATGAAGCTTAATGTCAGCCAAAAGGTAGATCGCAACCGGAGAGTGTGTGGTTGTGGTTCAGGGTTGGGGAGACCCAACTAAAGTGACATCCATTAACACTTTTTCTCGGGTTTGTCGTAGGAGCTGTGAATTTTTTGATTTCCCAAATTTTTGTCCCCCTGTCTTATCGATGATATAGCGGTACAGCAGCGGCGTCAACTCATTGCCATCAAACGAATTAAGTGGACTTTGCCAGAAACAACAACACGACCATCTTTGTGTCCGTCAAAAACGGTCTCTGCGACGGACACTGAACCAGCTGCTGCTGGAGGCGCCTACGTGTGTGTTCTCCGCCAGTTGGGGCTAAGTGGCTGATTGTGATGGCCCTCGGGAGCTGGGAGATCACCGATCAAAGATGGGAATGTGATTGGAACACTCTGGCGGCGGCTCACGGCGTGTGATCTTATCGTGATATAAATTAGCGGCTACCAGATTGAGGAATTACCATATCAGGTTTTAATGCAACTGAAATCTTTATCTAAATAAATAGATAGAAAATCCTAAATATAAGAAGTGATTTTATATATATTAAGCTATATAACCAAATCGTTGTTATACGGTAAATAAATATAATTAATGGTCTTTTTTATTATTCGCCCTTTTGTTTTGGGTAAACTTTAATGTTGCCTTTCATAATTTACAACTTCATTAACGCCTGTAAGAGGGGCATCATAAAACTTCATTCATAAATCCGAAATAAATGTGTAGTATAGTGAGTGCCCCCTTTGATTCTTTGATCGAAATATGCCGCATCATGATCAAGATGCCGGGATGAATGAATCAGATTCAGAAACAGAAATCAGAAACGAATAAAACAAATTGCCATCAGTTGGTACTCACTCTCAGGTCTACCCCTTTTGTGCTGCATCATTTCCATGCGGCCAAGGCTGGCTTTATCCTGTGGCCCGATACTTGGCCAAGTCACCGGCCCGAGGTGTCGGCTGTAAGCTAATTGGAAGCATGTTCAAAGGTGCCGCCAACAAATTAAGTATGAGTTACCAATTTAGCTTTTATATCTCTATCGCACACACGCACACATGCCCAACCAGCCGCACATAGATACGCGCGGCAGGAAGAGAGATGCGGATGCGGATGCCCTCTTGGGGGGGCAAAAAAGAGAGTGTGAGTGTAAGTGTGAGAGAGAGCCCGCCCCGGTCTTTCTCTAAACTGGTTTCTCCACAACTAAGTTGTAATTTCAGTCCTTTGATTGCATTTGTGTGCCAAGCTGAATTGTTTACATTTATCATAATCAGCACCCGAGTCGTTTGTAACCGCCGCGAGGGCCACATTTCATCTTTTGGCAATGCGGCGCCAGTTAAACTGGAAGTCCCAGTCGCAGTCCCACTACCACTTGGCTCTCCGCATCCCTCCAGATGCATCTGCATCCGAGACTGGCACTTGATGTAGGTCGCCCGGCGATCTGCGCTGTGCGAGTGCGACTGTGAGAGCAGCCAGCACTTGATCACCTGACAGGGGAAACGTTGAGTAATTGCTGACAATATGGCTGAGCAGGGGAGACAACACATTTAGTTAAGAATCAGGCAGCCTTAAATTGGGAACAAGGGGTCTGGGTCCCTAAAAGTAAATGTTTATAAACTTTATTGCGGCTGCTCTGATGTTATTATTATCATAAACAACTCAGAATATGGTTTTGTTATCGAGTCCTGCAGCATACATGTATTAAAGGGGGAAACAATACTCTTAATTTGTAGTAGTAATAGCTTTAGGAATTATGTCAAATATATCTTAATAAATAATCAAGGACGTCAAAGAATCATAAAGTTACTAATTTCACAAAAAGACTCAATTTACATATTAACAAAAAACCAAAAAAGTTGTTTTAAGAAAACTCTGGAAGTCTCAATGCCAAAGGACCATTACCTGAACACCTTCTAAGGTTAAAGGTTTCTGTAGCTGATTTAAAAGGGTAAAAAAGCTGTAAGTTCCGAAAAGCCGATTAAGTACCATATCTGGTATAAAGATAAAAGCCTTAAGAGCCTGAAAAAGTAGCGTTACAGGGTATTTTTTTCCAAAAACATTCCCTTTTTCTCTGCATATTTGAACTTAGTTCACTTAACTTGTTTAATTAAATGAAAATAAGTCACTTCTCTGAGATTTAAGTTTTCAGCATCGTCAAATTTTAAATAATTTATTTACAAAGTAGTATTCCAGAAAGAACGGAGAGGTATTAAGAGCTGTACTGATTATTTCAACAAACCCTTAAATTAAATTAAGAAAACTTAATTTTAAAAATTGAAAGATACCCCAGAAAGACCCCAGTATACTTGTCTTTTTTAAACTTTAATTTTACACTATTTTCTCTTAAAATTAAACTATTATTTCTATTAACAAATCAACGGTTTTCCAACTTACAACCCAAACAATCAAGACAAAACAGCGATTTTGTACTCACATCTGGCCTCATTAGGCCCGCTTAAATGGCTCATTGAGGCACTTCCACTCATCATCGTGCGGTAGGTTCATTAGTCATTTTTAGTTGATTCTATTAATGGGTTTCGACATTTACGCATTTCTGTTTGTTTTCACGGAAGTGGCAAGAGATTTTCCCATAATTAGAGTTCCCGGCGAATTTTCTCAGCCAGTAAAAGCCAAGTGGCACCGGTAATGGCTCCACTAATCTGTACTACAACTCAATTTCAATTAAATGCTGTTCGTTCGGTGATACTTTCCCCGGACTACTTTCCAAGAGTATTAATAACGCCCCAGGGCCCTGGGCCCAGGGGCCTAGTTGGAGTTCAGGAGGTTGCCTCAGGGTTTTGTGGGCACTAAAAGTTTCTTTATCGCGGCGCATGCGTTGCATTGTCACACATTTGGAAATGAAAATAAATTGGCTTTAACTGAGTTTCGGATCTGGATCGTGGTCGATATGCATCTCATCCATATGCACGAGGCTTTTCCCATCTAGTTTACGAACTGTGAGAGACCGGGGGAGTGGGTTCGGGGGAGCTAAAACCGACCAGTTGGTCGGATCGGTATCGGGCATCATTAGCAGCGGAATTGATAGCTTGATTATTCAAATGATTAACAAACGATCGGCTGCTGGCCAAGTTCGTCGGTTTGGCTAGCGAGAGGGTCTCGATCGAGATCGAGATTGATGGCGCACTTCAGTTGCGGAGAGCTCGCAGGTCATCTTCCCAGCTTCCCAGCTTCGCAGCTTCTCAGGTTTTGGAGTTCGGTAGTGAAAAATGTGTGCGCCGCTGGCGACGATGGGTCCACCTTTGAACTTTGCCGCAAACGGTAGCCAGAAAGCAGCCGGCTTCCAGTTGAAGAAATTTATGAAAATGATCATCGCTACGAAAATTAATAAATATCGAAATAATTTCGAGTAAATTTCGTATGCAAATTGGCGCCGTGCACAAATCTGCAAAGCGAGTCACAGCAACGCTCGGCTTTAGACACTTGGGTTTTTTGTTTTTTGTTTTTATTTTTTGGTTTTTTGGTTTTGTATTTATTTGGCTTTTGGCCCGACTCGTTTTCGTTCGTGGCAAGTGATTAAATTAATAATTAATTAGTTTGAATTTATGAATAACGGTTGTAAATAATCATTAATAAAAATTAAAAAAGATTTCTTTTATTTTAAGACTCCGCCACTCAGCATCAGCATCAGCTTCAACAAAATACGTAGCAACATCATTAAGATCGATCGAAGCAGAATATTCAAATTCGATTTCGAATTGATATCGACTCGAGATACAGATACACAAAACTTTGAATTGAACTCACCGACCGACCGACACAAGCCAAATGGAAGCATTGTTTGCTTAAATATGCTTAAATTTATTGACAAGAATTTGCGGTCTTTTGTATTTCCCTTTGTCTGCCTCAAATTATTAATTGGAGTGAAACAGATTTAGCTTTTAAACGCTAATTGGTTGGGTTATTAAACAATGACACAATTTTAATTTGTTCAGCTGAGTAAGGAAATGAATGGAAAGTCAAAACGATAACTTAAAAGCAGGAATTTTGGTATAATTAAATTTGTAATATTTATATTTAATTTTCGAAAGGTTTATTAAATGCACAATTAAGTAAATATTGTACGTTTGATGAGGCGTTTAACGAAAAATATATTATTCGGTTAAAAATACTCGGTATTATTAGTTGAAAAATGAAAAGGTTGATGATTGTAGCAATACTCTCAACGTTTTGTTTTTTAGAATTAGAATTCGTAAGAAAATAAGATTTTCTGTAGGATATACCAGGTCTATTTATTCTGGTATCTGGTATCTGGTATTGGAGACTCCACTGAAATAACTAGTGTTTTCAAGTCCCTTAATAGGTGTCAAAAACCATGCTTTAAATTATAACTCTATTACATATTTTAAGTCCTTTTCAATTTCTGTAATTCCCTTTGAAAAATCTCAAATCTCTTTGTTTATATATTTGGTGGCTCTGAAAAGAGCCGATTTACGATGGTTCTAATAGTTGTGTTCCTGGCTTTGATGCCGGATTCTGGTTCTGGCTGGTTCCATATTCACTTCCGTTTCCGTTTCCGGCTGTGATTGTTCTGGCTTGTTCACTGGCCCATAATAAGGCCTTGGTCCTGGCTGAGCTGCTGGATTTATCTCCAATCGAGGCTGGCTTAGAGTGTTGCCTTTGCCCCACATGTCGTGGCCTTGGACACCTCTTGTTGGGGTGTCTTGGCACTTCCTTTGGCCGTCGTCCAGTGCTTGGGGATATCCGTTTGGGCATAGCTACTCCCAACTCCCGGGGCACTCGACTCAAAATTAAACAAAATACTCGTCTCCTCATTGCTCACTTTCTGTACCAATCATTGGGTTGCCTTGGCGGTTCGGTGCGCACCTGGCCGCGCCCTCATTTGGGCGGCGCTCCGCCCATTTGGGCTGATCCCGGCACCGGGACCACCATGCCAGCAGCGGCGGCTGCAGCGGCCAAGCCCACCATATCGGCCTCATGCATGGGCTTTTTCTTTAAAATGCTCAAGTCATTGACATTTTCCAAGAAGGACTTGTGAGCAGAGAAGACCTTCACGCTATCAAAATCCTTCTTCAGTTCTTCAATGTCGCGCTTCTGCTTGGCCCTGCGATTCTGGAACCAGGTGATCACCTGGGCATTGGACAAGCCCAAGGAGGCGGCGATCTCATCACGATCCGCCGGAGACAGGTACTTCTGGTACAGGAAGCGCTTCTCGAGCTCAAAGATCTGATGATTGGTGAAGGCGGTGCGCGATTTGCGCTTCTTTTTCGGCTGCGGACGGTTCGAGAAGATGTCCAAGTGGGATTTATCTGGAAATAGAGAAGAGGAAAGGAAATTAGTTAAGAATCTTTTAAAATTCATATTAATACCCATTTACTTAGTTTGTAGCTCTAAATTCCCTGACTCTTGGCCTAAAACCGGTTGTTAACAAGCAACTTTGCCTTTAATTTTAATTGCCGAGCTAGTGTTGATTCAAATGCCACGATTGATACATTTGATGAATGCAATTGCGAACACAGCTGCAGTTTGAGGTCTCGGGCTCTCGACTCGGAGTCTATAATTTCACGCTGATTGATTGCACGGGCTGCAGTGGGCGTTCATTGGGCTGGTGGCTCTAATGACGCGAGCTCAGCTTTCTCGGGCATTATGCAAGGCGGCCGCTGCTCATTTGTCTCGTTTGCGGTGTGATTTATAATAATTATTGACACCTACAAATCAGTTTTAAGTGGTACCCCGCTTGATTAATGAGCCACTGACCCGTACTTAGAGCTCTGATTGTGTTTGCATAACGTTTCCTGGTACAAGCCCAGTGCCCATTGCCAGAAGCGGTGCCAATCAAAGCCACTTCGATCGAAACAATGTGATGGCAAGATCATCAGCATATATATTTGAATTTATTGAATATTGAATATTGATTGCTGAATATTGGCTAACCGGTTCCAGCTTCACACCCATTCCGATTGCTTGTCAAACAAACTAGATCGACATTAAAAACTAATTAAATGCCCTCCAACCGAATGCAAACGAAGTCTCCAGAGTCCGGACGGCAGGCCCATCCAAGCCATGAGTGTGGGTATACCCGTTTTACATATATGTATATACATATTCGAAATGCAAACGCATAATTTGGTCATTTGTTATCTCGAGCACGTTTTGTAACCCAAAACCCATTAGGCACTTGACTGCACGCCTCTCTTTCTCCAGAGCCTTTCTCCCCCGGTCTCTCTTGTATTTGTTTTTTATCGGAGACTCATTAAGTAATTTCCCTGACTTATCTCCTAGGGGTAAGCGAAAGAGAAATGGGCAGGCCACTTGGGTATCCTTTTCCCCTCTCAGGTGTCCACTTACAAGGCATAAATTGGGTCCTTAGTTAGGAGGAGTTTTGTTGTGATGTTCCGTATGTTTAAGTAAGGGAAACCCGATCGATTTTCGGGGAACCTGCGTTTGCCTGGGTAGCAACAGTTGTTCCTCCGGGATTTTTATGTTTTAATTTGGCGAGAATACTGGGAATTGCAATTAGGATTAGTGCAGAGTCTAGGCGACACAGCGTCTGGTGGGTTTTCTCTCTAGAAACCAGTTGATGTATAACCACAAGGAACCGGCTAGGGCTACGTTTCAGGGTAATTATATCTACACACCAGAGTGTGAGTGATGCTAATGGGCACTCCTCATAAATTAATGGAGCTCCATGTCCTCACAGCTGCCTATCGCAGCGACTACTCCTAAACTGCTGATAGACAAACGATGGGACGCCTCCCGAAGCTGAAACTTCCATGGGTACGATGCGTCGTAAATATTTCGTCTGCGAGTTATACAATCCATGATAAACAGTAATATGTGTAGTATATTTTGTCAACTTAATACCCCCAAAGATACAGCCTTATACAACGGCCGAGTGTCGTCGCTAATCGCCCGTTCAGTGTATTTTAAAACATGTTTACGACTCGAGGAGCTTCGGCCACCGCCGACCAACCACTACTAATATTATTGTGGTCGGGGCTAGAGTTGGCCCGGCCATTAGTTTTGAGTAGCAACAAATGGAAACGGCATGTTAATTGTTCGACGAGCATCGGGCCGCAACAACAAAACTCGATTAGGTAATGCACCGCTCGGCTAATTGTTGCTAATCGCTGCAGAATCGACACGACTACACAAATACACAACTAATGCGGACAGTTGGGGGGACTATTAACCATTAATTGCCATGAAATCACTGCGTGGAGTTCGGGGAGTACTAGTAGTACTAAAACGCCCACTAAATGAGCTCGGACGAGTATCAAGGCACAGATTTTCCTGCCTCTCTGATTGCATATCCAAAGAACAAAGTTCGCCCGTCTCAAAATGTATCTCTCGACTTTTTATACCCCGTGCGAGTGGCGCATGCTGCCAATTAATTAAAAGCCCAAATATTGATTCGGTTTTTTGGGGAATTTACATAACAAAAGACTGAAAAATTACGGGGGGACAGAGGAGAATGAGACCATTTATTTCAATTAAACGAAATTCGAATTTGCTGATTGATAAATGGCAAAACATCATCATAATAAGCTGAATATTCAGCTGCTGCTCTGTCGATTCCCCGCTAACAAATTGGAAGCTTTTATTCTAATTAAGAAATCGCGTAAATCCATTACGGAAATTAAGACATTTGTCAAGCGGAGCCACAATGGGGCTCCTTCTTACCCCCAAGTAAACCCCCTAAAGCTTCAATTTGGGATGCTTACCTTGCGACTCGTCAAAGTCCTTGGTGGTCATCTGGAACAGAGCATCCAGTGGTGTGCCATTGGCCTTGGCCTTGGCCACGGCGGCAGCATTGTTGGTATTCGCCGCTGCTCCGGCTGCTCCTCCTTGCGATGGACTCGCTGCATTGGTGGATCCACTGGCTCCTGGCTGTGCCGACGACTGGGGGCTGTGGCTGTGCCGGGCAGCGGCGGCGGAGGCGGCAGCCACGGCAGCCGCCGAGTCCCTGGCAATCTCGGGCGAACAGCAGTCGCTGGCCGCCGAACTGGAGCGGTCCGAGCCGCTCTCCGAAGGAATAATGTCCATGCCCATGTGCCGCAGCAGCTGGGCCTGGGCATTGAAGTGCTCCTGCAGCTGGCGATGGTAGTCAAGGGCCAGGCGCTGCTCGTAGTGCAGCAGGGCGGAGGGTATAAAGGGTCGGACGGGCATGGCAGGGCCCAGGAGGTGATCCCATGGCCGGACAATCTGTCCGCTTGGGAGCAGCATGGCAGCCGCCGCCGCCGGATGTACATCCAGAGGTTCCGTGCGCGGCTGCAAGAGTCCGCCGGAAGTGGCACTGGGGCGAGAGGCGGGCGGGGCCAGGAGATTGGAGCTGGGTGGCGGCGAAACGGACTCCTCACGCTGCTTCTCCGAGTGACCCAATATGTCCGCAATGGAGAAGCTCTTGACGCCCTCAATGGCCGACTTGGTATTGGTGTTGGTTTGTCCGGCGGACTGCGGCTCCGGAGCGGCGGCCGGCGGACTGGGTGTGTGTTCCCTGGGCTCCGACGAGGAAGAGGACATGCGCAGACGCTTGAGCGGCTGGAAGTAATCCTCCGGCAGACCGCCGACGGCACTCCGGCTGAGTCCGGCGGCTGCTGCAGCGGCGGCGGCGGCAGCAGCGGCTGCGGCGGCATGTTGCTGCATCAGCAGTTGCTGCTGCTGCAGCAGGTCAATGGTGCTGGCACGTGGATGGTGCAGCGGATGCTGATGCGGATGCTGGTGCGGATGCGGATGCTGCGTGGGCAGCGGGCTGGGGGCTCCGCCCACGGAGATCTCGGATTCGGCGGGACTGGCCGGACGCATGGTTGGAGGGCAGAGCATTTAGGTTCGAAATATAGCACTTGGAGGATTCTCAGGGAGTTCTTCCTTTCTTTCTTTTTTGTGTGTTAGGTGGCACTAAACTGTATTTGTTCACTGATTTCTCGTTGATATTGGTTTCGGTGATTAGTCAGCACTAACTAAGGTATCATCGGCACGACTATAACGACTACAGCGATCTATAGCTGATCCAACGGTATAGGACCTCTCAACTCGACAACTCGCAGTCAACTGTTCGAAACTAGATTGAAGATTGGTTTGCTAACTAGACACGTCGATATTTCTTCAGTTCTTTTGCTGCCGCCGCAGTCGCTGCCGCCGCTCTCTGCTCTGCCGCCGCCGCCTCCCTCGCCCCATCTCGTTCTCACCCTCGCCCGCTCTCGCTCGCGCTCGGCTCCTTAGCATCTCGCCCTCTCTCTATTCGTGTCGTTCGTGTCTCGTTTGTCGGTGGTTAAACCTCTCGGCCTCGGCAATCAAATCATAACTGCAAAACAAGCTGCGTCGACGTTCGCGTCGCGGCGCCGTTCGCTCTCTCTCAATCTTTCTGACGAGAGAGCTGAAACCTGTTTCTGGTTAGAGCGAGAGCCAGCTATAACCCCTGGGTGCTGCCATCTCGCTCTGCACGGCTCTTAGCACCAATCGGCTACAGCAACAAAAAATAGCAATGGTGGCGTATACGTAACGGTAATTATGGCGTTCATCATACGACTAGTGTGCAAGCGGGATGGCGCACGCGGTGCGAGAGCGAGATGGAGCAGGCGACGCTCCTCAGATTGTAACGAGACTGTATTTAGTATTTTTGGTTCGCAGCAAAGTTTTCACAACTTCAAATGACGTCGGCAGCGGCGCTAGCAGCGGCATCTGCTCCCCAAAAGCCCCTAAACCCTCCCTCCCCCTCCGCCCCACTCGAAGAGCCCCCTCACACAGTTAGCATTAATGACGATGACCCCCGAAGGCAGCCCGCGTTTAATTGTCAAGCGTTTGCAATTAATTTGCTGTAAGAAAAACGAACAATTAATTTGGGAGAACAAAAAAACGAAAACAAAACTAGGAAAACTAGAGAGACCGTGGGTAAGGGAAATAAAAATGCGCATAAATTTGCTGGCATTTTGAAATTAATTCGAGTCTGAGAATGAAAATGAAGCCAGTTGTGGTTGGTTGACTTGGAGAGTATTTCCTATTTTTTTTCGGAATATTGGCTAGGTGCCACTCTGTTTAATTGAAACTTATTGTTTGGATTACTCGTTTCCTTCTCACTTGTTTATTTAGTGTCATAATAAAGATACTTCTTGCCTGGCCATCATCATACTCAATGCAAATGGAGCAGAGCGTTATTGACAGAACCGGCGGCTTTATTGGATAGATGTGGGCTTTATAAGATTTGGATCTTTGACGATTTTAGGACTTAGGAACCGTTCAAAAATGTTTAATACATTTAGGAACCGTTCAAAAATGTTTAATACATTTTTAATACATTTTTGAACGGTTTCCATTATATATTTTTTTTGGAAAAATGAAACAGACTGATTTCAGAAACTCTTTGAATATTTATTGCATTCTTATAGAACATTTAGTTAATAGCACTCTTGGTATACAAAATAAGAATATTTTTATAATCCCTTCCATATTTAGTTTAAAAACACTTATTAAATATTCTTCAAAAGGATTTTATGATTTTAATTAAAAATGTAAAATACTATGAACACTTTTAAAATATTAAAATTCTTAAAAATACATTCTGAGCATTTAATTATTTTATTGAATTACTATATCCTCTAATTTCAATTTTATTATTTTACTAATTTTAAGACTAATACTTTTTAACTCAAAAGGTTACAAATTTTAGTCGGTTGAAGTTAGTTCATATTGTTGATGAATTTTAATCCTTAAGTTTTTTTTTACGATTTCCCCTAGTTAGAAATCCAGTTCTGTGATCCCTGCCGCTCTGCGTCGTCCTGCAGCAGTTTAATGTCAGCCAATTTGCAATTGTCCACACGTTTTAGACAACTTGAAGAAGGCATATGCTGACACCTCCAGGGCCAACAAACAACTCCAAATCCTTTTAATTGAAACAAATGTGAATTGCAGCAACAATCAGCCAGCTGAGAACAAAAGATTGGCTGAGCCAGTGGCAGTGGCAGCAACGGAAGAAGAAAAGACGGCGGCACAAAGGCGTCAAGGCGTCTGAAGACAAAGGGGCCAAAGGTCTATTAAGGAAGAATCGAAATTCGAAAATCGAAACCAATTGCCGTCGCAGCAGGATGCTAAACGAGAAAGGAATCGACAGCGGCAGCGGCGACCACCGCAGGCTCAGCGCCCGACTTTAGCCGCAGTGGGTCCCGAGGTCGAGCCCATCCCGGACCTTTACCGAGACCCCGAAAAGAATACTACCTGACGCTGCGCCCGGGGAGAGCGGCTGTTGATAAGGACTAATCACACAAATATTTGAGCATTTGGTTTTTTTTTTTTTTTTTTGTGATTGAGTCTCGCCGCGCCGAGCGGCCCGTTTGATTTGCCGCGTTTAGCGCTTCTGTATTTTTTATAATTCTAATTTCTTCTGCCCATTTCCTTCTTTGTTCTTGGCGGCTATTAGTGTATCTATTAGATACACACACACACACGGTGGCAGCGGCGTGGGAAAAGCCGCGGCGTTAATTATGCCAGGTCCTTGAGTCTGGAAATCCTTTGCGGGAAAAGACACAATTTACACCTTACACCTGTGCCCATTCCCCCCCACCTCCACTTTCATCTGTGTGTGTGGCTTCATTCACACGATGATAAACTCCTGCAGTGAAAGTGCTGGAAAAGGGTTCATTAATATTCAAATTTTAAATGCAGGGCGACGATTTCATTGATTTATCGATCCAGAGGCAGCTGCCCGAAAGCAGCCGGAGCAGCTGATTGCCGAATTGAATTTTCTATAATTAAGTTTATCTTCTATCGGCAGATATGGCTTTAAACCGATATTTAGAGTTTGTAACGCTTACTGTTTAGTGTCTGAGTATTTACCAAGCTAACTACACCCAGTTTTATTTGTAGAGAGAAATGTATTGTGGTCATTGCCTCGACTACTTAATACCCGGTAACTTAAAGTTATGAGATTAATAAGAATATATGCTTACTCCAATATACTCTTATTAATTTTATAAGTCTAGGCATTATATTTGTGGGTGTATGAATCTAGAAAGTAACAAAAGTTCACTAGGGGCATCTACAACATGGGCACTCTTACTGTTGCCTCTATAATTCCCAAAGGGTTCTAGCTGCAACATCGGAACTTTTACGGTTGCCTTTGGTTTAGGATTCCCAAAGGGTTCTAGCTGCTTCTGGTTTACATAAAATTTTAAAGTGGGTCAGCATAGGTTAGCGACGAGAAAAAGGAGAGACATATTTAAGCTTGTTTCGGCCTTAATTTAAAATATAGTTGATTTTATCAAGAGCAGCTAGGTTCTCTGCTTTTCTTGCTTCATATTCTATAAAGGTTCTATATAATTTTAAAACACAATAATATACAATCGTGGACATAAGTATTTTGACACAGCTTATAGCTATATTCCAGCGCGTGTATCTTAGTACTCGTAAAAGTTACGGGATCCATTTAACTTTCCAGTAAGAGATTATATTTAAAACTTTAAAAAAGCAAAAGATGTTTCTGATATGTATATTGACTTCTTTGCTATGTCACATTATGTGAGAGATCATGAATTTTTGGGTGGACAAAAATATTTTGACATTGCATTCAATCAGTTCTTATTTGTTTCGTGCGCATTAAAGGACGTTGTTTGTTATTTATAACTCCAACTTATAAGTCTTTTAGCAGCTTTAATACATTTTTTGTCAATTTTCCTAATTTCTGTACCGTTATTTAATGAAAATATGGGTAAAACACGGGAGCTAAGCCAAATCCAGCGAAACGAAATAATAATTAAGTACCAAGCAGGTATTTCGGTCCAGAACCTCAGCATATTTTATAAAATACCCCGTCAAACAAAATTAACAAACATAAACTGACAATTTCGACGTATAATTTAGTCAGAAAAGGGCGACCTTGCAAGAGTACGCCTAGACAAGATCGTCTAATCCTTTTAAAATTTAAAGATATTGTCCTTATTATACCAAAAGCAGCTTCAATGGAAGTTCAAAATGATTATGATTTTTAAATTAGTAGAAAAACAGTTGAAAGAAGACTTAAAAAGGCTAACTTTGCTACTAATGTGGCCCGTCAGATACCTTTCATTTCACCTAAAAATGAGTTGAAACGATTAGCCTTTGCCAAATAATTTTAAACATGCCTAAATCCTTTTGGGAACAAATTGTGGACCGATGAGAGTTCTTTTGAGTACCATGGTTAAAAAAAAGAAATTTACTGCAGATTACCAAAAAATATTCGCAAGAAAGTGCGGCCTAATCGGCTAATCGTTTCAACTCATTTTTAGGTGAAATGAAAGGTATCTGACGGGCCACAAAGTAGCAAAGTTAGCCTCTTTAAATAATATTTCAACTGTTTTTTCACTAATTAAAATATCATAATCGTTTTTAACTTCCATTGAAACTTCGTTTGGTTTAATAAGGACATGTTCTTTAAATTTTGCAAAGATTAGACGTTCTTGTCTAGGCGTAGTTTTGCATGGTCGTCCTTTTCTGACCAAATTATTCGTCGAATTTGTCAGTTTATGTTTGTTAATTTTGTTTGACGGGGTACTTCATAAAATATGCTGAGGTTCTGGACCGAAATACCTGGGTGGTACTTAATTACTATTTTGTTTTGCTGGATTTGGCTTAGCTCCCGTGTTTTACCCATATTTTCATTAAATAACGGTAGAGAAATTAGGAAAATTTACAAAAAATATATTAAAGCTGCTAAAAAATGTATGAGCTGGAGTTATAAATAATAATAAACTGTATTTTATGCGCACGAAACAAATGAGAGCTAATTGAATGCAATGTCAAAATATTTTTGTCCACCCAAAAATGCATGATCTCTCACATAACGTGACAAAGCAAAGAAGTTAATTTACTTATCAGTGTCATCTTTTGCTCTTTTAAAGATTTAAATATAATCTCTTACTGGAAAGTGAAATGGATCCCGTAACTTTTACGAGTACAAAGAGACACGCGCTGGAATATAGCCATAATCTGTGTCAAAATACTTATGTCCACGATTGTATATTAATATCCCTCACTTTTAACAATATTTTGTGATCTGCTTCTGCTATATCTAGTCTTAAAC